CTTACTATAAGCTATTATATGTTTTAAATATAAATTATATTATATATATTAAAAATATTATTTAATATCAAAACGTGTCATAACGTGTCAAAATTTGCTATTTTTTAAAATTAACGTGTCGACATATTGTGTCTCATGTCTCATGTTAGTGTCCATGCATCATAGCTCATACCTATGCTGGGAGTCTGGGACATAAGAGAAGGGCAAGAAATCAACTTTTGACAGGATACATGCACGGTGTGAACTTGAATTAATTCATGACGTTCACATATTTTGCATTATTTACTTGAGGGGAGGATTTGAAGAGAAGTGAATTTTTTTTTTGTAAGTATTAGATTTTTTCCACTTTATTTATTTTAAACCTTTTCAATAGTTTTTTTTTAAATAAAGGGTATTGAAAGAAATTAAATTTTATTTATATACATTTTCATTATTTTTATGGATAAAATCAAAGAAAGAAAGAAAAATTCTTTTGGTTTTTATTATTAGAGATCACTTGTCCACTTTGTCTTCTTTTATTTTTTCTTCTATTATATTTTTGTCCCTGATACCAAAAAGTCCCTTAAATCTTCGGTAGAATAAAAATTGGGATTAATTTTTTTCAATATAAAATCATCTCCTATATATATAAAAGTGTAGGGGCCATATTTTCTTTTTTTCTCTTATATCTTCATATGACCTCATAAACTCTATTTACTTTTATGTATGTATAACAAATAATATTATTCTCTACAACATGAAAAACATTAAACTTATAGAATTTGTATATGTTAATGAATCTGGATTTTTAAAAGAATACGAAGTTAAGGATGTTACAAATTCATCCAAAACACAATAAATAAATTAATTTCTTTCTATGCAAGATGGATATTAAAGGTATATCATCAACGTCACATGGACTGAATTTAATATTTAATCATAATTTTCACAAAGGTTGACAATAATAAAACATAAAATAAGTTAATTTAAAGTTTTAAGCACGTTGCCTTTTTTCCTCCTTTGCTATAATTTTTTTAAAAATATGTATTAGAAATTTATTGTCAATTTAAATTTTATTATTATTAATGCAAAACTTAAAATAACATATTCAAGTCATATATAAAAAGAAAAACTTCATTTTTACCCACTGTGATTTTGTGATTTATCATTTGACCCCCAGTGATTTTAAATTTATTAATTAGACCCATTGTGCTGAGATATTTTGTCATTTAACCCCTATGATTACAAATTTTCACTTAGACCCCTTGTATTTATAAAATTTTTCACTTAGAAATCTTGTGATTTAAAAAATAAAAATTTAAAAAATAAAAATTTAAAATAAATTTTCTCTCTTTTTTTATTTTATATCCCCGTGTAATGTATTTATGGTTTAAAAAATATCTCAAGTTATTAATTCTGAAATTAATTTATAAATTGTCTTATTTTTTTAAATATATTTGAAATTAAAAAAATATTATTTAAGATAAATTAAATACGTGTTATCAAAATAAGATATTTACTTTCTTTAGATAATTTTATAACGATATCGGGTAAAAAATAGATAAAATAAAATAATATTTGATTTGAACTTATTTTCTTGATAAAAATAAGTGAATTTTAAAAAAAAAAATATTTTTGTTTTTTAAACCCTAAATGCATTAGGTGATGATATATATATAAAAAAGAGAACATTTATTTGTTGGACATGTGTTCGATTCCTGCTGAATGCATTTTTGGGGAAGGGGCTGAACCTTTAGCCATCACTGCTCCCCCGCATTCCGGATTAGTTCCATAGCCGGCTCAAAGAGTCGAAGCTCGTGGGGATACCGGAGGGAGCCAACTTGCCTCAAAGAGGTAATTAGGGTTGGGTAACTCCAAAAAAGAGAACATTTATTTTAAATATTTATTTCTAATTTGTTTTATAACCATGAGGGGTCTAAGTGAAATTTTTTCTAACCACAAGATATCTAAGTGAAAGTTTGAAATCACGAGGGATTAAATGATAAATTATTTAAGTACAATGGATCTAAGTGATAAGTTTAAAATCTCAGGGGTCAAATGATAAATTACAAAGTTACAATGGGTAAAAATGAAATTTTCCTAAATAAAATTATTTCTTAAGATATAATTAAGAATGGAAGGTTAAATTAAATTCCTCTTAATAGTATTGTTTTTATACAAACAATTTTTTTAAAATAAACTCAGTATTTAATACTTAAAACACTCAAATTCTGAAACCAACCCATGTGGGCTCTTAATTGTTATTCTTATTTCTATTTGAGCCTATGTCATCTTAAAATAGAATGAGAATGAATTATCCCACGTGTCATTTGATATAGTCATATTAAGTCAGAGAATCATAATTACTTATGGTCATATCAATAAGAAATAAGAGAGAAAAATGATAAAATCTCAATATTATATGATTATTATTCTCTCATATAATATGTCATGTTGAATAATACATAAAATAATTCACTCTCACAACAAGAATACCCCTAGGGGAAGTTTGTTAGAGGGATAAATTTTAGATTATCACGAAAGACGAAACTGACATTAAGAATCGTAGTTATCCACGTTTGATACAAAAATTCTTAAAATTTTATTGGAAAAATAAGATTCATGAAAATTATAATTGCGAATAAGAATTCCATAAAATAATACCAATAGGAGGTGCTATTCTTGGATTCTCACCTATAGGGGTGTTTGCGGTCTGGATTGGATCAGTTTTGAAAGTAAAACTCATCCGATCCAATCCCTTATGTTTGATCATATAATCATCCATTTGGTTTGAATTTTTTTCAAATCCGATCCAATCCAATCTAATTTTTTTCGGTTTGGATTGGATCGGTTTTTGATTTTTTGAAAATTCTAAAATTTATTTCATGATTGTTGTGCAAATAACATCTTTTGTATATATTGGCTTTGTAATTTTATTTTATTTTTGAAATACAAAAGAATTAGTAAACTATAATATAGTTTTTTTTTTGCAATAAGATATGAAGTTCTATAAAGATAAAATTGTGTTGATAAGATATGACTAGATTTTTTCTTGGGTTTAGTTGATGGGTTAATAGGTCTTGAGTTTAGAAATTTTTAGGCTATGATTAGGGAAAGACCCAAATAGGTAGAGGGGAATTAATATATTGGATCGGTTTGGATTGGATCGATTTTCCTCAACTCATCCAAAAACCGATCCAATCCAATTAAAATTTGCAATTTTTTTTCAGTTTTCGATTTTTCGATTTTCGGTTATCGATTTTTCGGTTCGGTTACTGCGGTTTGAATTGGTTTGGATCGGTTGATGAATACCCCTACTCACCTATGTAGCACCGATACTGACATGTGACACGTGACACGACACGACACGACACGACACTTCGACACGTTAATTCTAAAAAATGTTAGATTTCGACACGTTAAGGCACGTTTTGATATTAAATAATATTTTAATTTATGTAGTGTATATTATATTTAATATTTAATAATTTAACAAAAAAAAATGAAACTAAACTTATAATATTCATCAATTTCGTAAAGAAACATAAAATATCTCAAATATTTATATTAAACTCAATAAAATGATAATCGTAATCTAATAGTTAGAACTAAAAACTCAACACAACACAACCTTTGAACCTTTTTTTGAATTTCTATAATGCGTGTTGGAGTGTCGGAGAGTGTCGAGAAGTGTCGGACACGACACATCAAGGTTTTTGAAGTGTCGGTGCTTCATAGATTCTCACATAGTAGGAAATTTTTTATATAATTTATAAATTATAAATAACCTTGTTTTAATATTTTCAAGACTGAATCTTGTTAGAACAAATTCATAATTGCAAATAAATTTAATTTTCTATATAAGAATGCTTTTTGGAACCCATATCAGCACGAAAATTGAAGGGTGTGTAGAAAAATTTCAACTCTTATGTTACAGGAGAATTATAAAACTCATATTTAAATTACCAAAAGGAGTTCTGTTTTCTCCACCTACTTACTACAATTAATTTTTGCCACCTTCACCCACAAATAAAATAAATACTAGATGACAGAAAATAGTGGTATGGTAACGAGAAAGGGGACATAAAACTTGACTACAAGTATACATTTTGAAATATAGTATTAGATACTATAGTCATTTATCAAAGGTTAATTTTATAAATCATCCCATATTTTCAGAAATTATTAATAATCAATCAAACATAATATTAAAAATCTAAGCCAATATTTTTGAAAATAGTTTGACATATTAAACTATTTTTTGATAATATTTCTGAGAAGTACACTTTTCTAACATATTATTTGGAATAAATTTTTTTTCTCAAATACCTCAGAAGAAAAAAGAAAAAGAAAAAGAAAATCTTGTTTTAATTAGACGTGAAGTGCATGGTGAAAGGGTGTAAATAAGCTCTTTACCATGTTATCAAAAAAAAAAAGCTCTTTACCAAAAATAAAAAAAAGTGTAAATAAGCTGAGCTAGAATTTGACTTAGATAGAAGATTTATATAAAATATTTTAGGTTTGACTTAATTTGTTAATTTATATAGACCTAAATTATAAATTTGATCTAACATATTTTTAGAAAATAAAAATCTTAATTTAGACCTATTAATCTGCTTTCTAAATAATTTTTTTATATCAAAATATATTTTATTTAATTATATATAATAGATCAAATCCAACATTATATAAATCAAATTGTAAACCCCATTAACCCAACCGACTCATTCACACCCATAATCTTCATTGCTAAAGCAAATATCAATTGAATGCAACATGGAATGTAGCATGGAACTCACCACGCCACGACACAACATCTACCAGCGCTTCCAATTCTGCCACGTCATCAGCGAAACTCTGCCAACTCCAACACTGTTTATACACGACACGAAAACAATAGTAACCACTAACCAATTTTCTCGATTCCCAAACTACCCCTAGGAGTAAACCAAATTGACCACAAAGCCATCGCGTTATATAAATAAACAAAAACCCTTCCATCTTCTTCTGAGACGCATCACACTCACACACCACGCGCATAAACTCAAAACACATTCTCGTCATAAAACACAGTCCTACGTGGCATTTTCCATCTCCTTCAATTCTCTCTCTCAACAATGGCAACAGGGTTGCTGAAGAGGGCGGCGAGTAGGGTTCCATCGTCGCCGGCGTGGAATCTGGCCCTTCTCCGGGCCCACGCATCGGAAGCCCAAGCCCAGAAGGTGGAGACCAAGGCCAGCGACACAACCGCCACGAAGACGTTCCAAATCTACCGTTGGAACCCGGACAAGCCGTCGAAGCCCGAGCTGAAAGAATACCAGATCAACCTGAAGGAGTGCGGGCCCATGGTCCTCGACGCCCTAATCAAAATCAAGAACGAGATCGACCCGGGCCTGACTTTCCGGCGCTCGTGCCGCGAGGGGATCTGCGGTTCGTGCGCGATGAACATCGACGGTTGTAACGGCCTGGCGTGCCTGACGAAGATCCAATCGGAGGGGTCGCCGACGACGATAACGCCGCTGCCGCACATGTTCGTGATAAAGGACCTTGTTGTTGACATGACGAACTTCTACAACCAGTACAAGAGCATCGAGCCATGGCTGAAGCGGAAGAACCCTCCAACGGTTCCAGGGAAGGAGATCCTTCAGAGCAAGAAGGATCGTGCCAAGCTTGATGGGATGTACGAGTGCATTCTCTGCGCCTGCTGTAGCACATCCTGCCCCAGTTATTGGTGGAACCCTGAGTCTTATCTTGGACCCGCCGCTTTGCTCCACGCTAATAGGTAACGCTTTTCTCTTTTTTCTTTTCTTCTTATTGTGTCAATTTGATTGGAATTTGGAAGTTTTGCTTTTAGCTGGTGTTTTGGGGTTTGACCATGTCGTTTTGTACATGATACGACAACTACTAAAATCTTTTTCCACTATGTGAGGTTTGCCATGAAAATCATATGTAGATTTTTTTGTTTTCACTCCATATAACCTTGCAAAAAGGTATATTGCTACCAAATTGGTTCTCTGAAATGTGAGTCTTTTGTGTTAATATCAACTCCATTAGTTTTTCCTGTGGTTTGGAACTATGGCTCTTGAACTTAATGAGCTTAATCCTTTTATTAGTAGCGCAATTCTGGATGTTCCCTTGTTCTTATTAATAGGGATTAACGTACTTGTCCTCCATTCATCTAACATTTTCTTAGAAGTCATTACCTCGATAAACCACTTTTTCCCTTGGCACTTCCATACTTCAGTAGGTATATTATATGTCCAACCGTTTTTCCATTGTCCATCATATTTAGTGCTTCTTATTTAAGATATCTGAGTCTATTAAAGTAGCTTGTTCTTCATTAAATAGCTTGTGAAAATAACCCTTCTGTTTAACCTCGATATCTTATTCCGTAAGCAAGACTTCACCCTCTCCATCTAATTCTCTTCCTTTTTCTATGCTATCAAGATTCTTGTATTGTGCATGATGTTACATTGATTTTCTTAGTTGAAATTGAGGGGGTGAGAGGAAATTAGTTATGGGAAGAGTGTGTGTGTGTGTGATTTGTTTTGTCAGTGGGTTGGTTTGTGGTAATTGGGTAAGCTATTTGGCAAAAGTTATCGAATGCAGATTGCGGCATGTCGCGGCCAAACCCCAAGAAAAGCTATAATGCTATAGCGGGTTGCGGTTGCGAAAATAGCAAAATAGATATATGACAGAAATAATGACAAAAAGAAACTTTTTTTAAAGGTAGAGATAGCAGTAGTGACAGAGACACAGATAGACTAAAAAACCCTAAAAAAATTTCTGTTACACATTTAAATTTAGGACAAAATTGACATTCTGTCTTATATGACAGCAATATGGCTGTTATTTGGCCGCAAATGCTATCGCAATGGTCGCTATTGCGTTCTGGTGCGGTGCGGTTTCTTGCGGGGAGGCACCGCAACGCCCTTACTGCGCGGCTCGCGGCACTATTGCGGCGGAATTAACTACTATGCTATTTGGTGGATTCTATGTTTTTTGTTGTATTGTTACGTTGGACAAGGCTCCTCTAAATTGAGAAAGCCTCTGAAGTGCACAACTGAGTGCTATGAAGCACCGACACTGCAAAAACCTGACGTGTCGTGTCCGACACTCTTCGACACTCCCCGATATTATAACACGCATTATAGAAATTCAAAAAAAGGTTCAAAGGTTGCGTTGCGTTGAGTTTTTAGTTCCAACTATTAGATTCATTGGAATACGAATACCATTTTATTGAATTTAATATAAATATTTGGGATATATTACGTTTCTTTGCAAAATTGATGAATATTATAAGTTTAGTTTCATTTTTTTGTTAAATTATTGAATATTAAATATAATATACACTGCATAAATTAAAAATATTATTTAATATCAAAACGTGTCTTAACGTGTCGAAATCTAACATATTTTAGAATTAACGTGTCGGCGTGTCGGTATCGGTGCTACAAGGGTGTATCCACCTTTGAATTTAAGTCATTCATGTTAATTTAAATCAATGGTAGTTGCCCCCTCACTTGTGCGTTTTAGAGGCTTTCTGACTTTAGAGGAGTTTTATCCTGATATGTTATGTTAAATTAGATTTGAAGCTTAGGTTGAGAAAGGATTATAGTTTTCGGCTGCCATATTATGCATGATGTTTTATTGATTTTCTTAGATGAAATTCAGGACATGAGAGGAATTTGTTTGAAGTATGATTCTTTATTGTTATTTGTACACATGTTGGAAAAGTGTGAGGGTGTGCTGGGTTTAGATTTAGAGAATTAACTTACACAGAGACCATTGGGAAGGTGAATAAATTTCAGTTGCTGTTCTTGATGCTAAGGAAGTTTTGGTTCCTTTTCCTTGCTTTTAGTAAGAAAAGGATCTTCTAAGGTGAGTTTAACTTGGCTGTTTTTCTATGTATTGATGAATTTTCTACTCTTGATTCCTTGAACACCCACCCCCCCAAACCCCTTCCGTGCGCCCCCCACAAACACACAACCCCCCTGCACGAAACATTGGTCTTAAATGCTTTTGCAATTGCTATAGGGCATTTTTATGATATTATCTACATAATCATGTTCAAAGCTGAGATACTGTCTATGATGGTATTTGTAGGTGGATAAGCGACAGTCGTGATGAGTACACTAAGGAGAGATTGGAGGCCATTAATGATGAATTCAAGCTCTATCGCTGCCACACCATATTGAATTGTGCTCGTGCCTGCCCAAAGGGGTTGAACCCTGGAAAGCAAATCTCACATATCAAGTCGCTTCAGCCTAAAGCTTGAAGTTCTGTTGTTTGAAGCGTGATGATGTTTGCACTGATAATTTATGTTGGGATTTTTTTTCTTCAAATATGGGGATAATTTAGCTATATTCTTAATAAAACCTGAGCCCCTTTTGTAAAACATGGGTTTTAAGTCTATATTGCCTTTTGTTTTTTGAAATAATGCTAATAGTTATATTGCCTTCTATTTTTGAAATAAATGCTAATATTGACTTGTAAAAATATTAATTTGAATGATTTACGAGTAGCATAACTTATTTACATTCATATGTTTTAGTTGGTCTAAACTTAAGTTGACTGTCCCATTAGGAGGCTTTGTATGGAAATGTATTGCTAACTTGGAATCACATTTTATGCTACCTAACCAGTCAGTGTGCTGCTTTCCAATCGTGTTAAATTGTTAAGGTGATGACCATTTTGCTGCTTGGAGTAGGAACCTACAAAATTATTATTAGTTTTGGCATTACTTTTAATTTTAATACGTAGTTATTGGAAAGTTATATTTTTAGGGCTTTATTTAGGTTTTCTTTCTAAAAATGAGAGTATATTATTGGAAAGTTTTGGCATAATGTTTTTTAAGTAGTATTGTATTTCTTAGCGGAGGATGAACCAAAATAGTGGTGAAATTATTTTTTTGTGATTGAAAGGTCACAGTTTCAAATTCAGGAAGTAGCTTCTTTATAATTATTTGTAAGGGTAAAGTTGCATATGGAGATTGTCTTATTCCACACTTGCTAATCGGATTGAATTGTTAAGTTTTTTTTATTAGTATTGTATTAGTTAAACGAATTTATATATGTAGCTTGAATGACCGGGTAAATGATTAGAGGAACAACCAGCAGATCAAATTTTTTTCCATCTGATATTCTGATCAGTTGCTACTTTTTCGTTATCAGCCCACAGCAGAAGCTGATTCATGCTTTTTCTGCTTCTTCCGGGACTGCATGATTTCTCTGGTGCTTTGGCATGTAGAGTGGCGCTACCATGTTTAGGATTTGCGCTTTATGAACCCAACATAGATCTTCTAGTCTTCTAGATTAGCCTAGGTGTTTTAATTGTTCTTGGATAATGGATATGTTAGGAGTATTGTAGTTGAGTGCATGTTTGGCTGGCCATGGCAACTCTATTAAAACCAAATATACTCGAAGAAAGAGCCTTGACCAAAATAAAAATATATGATATGAAAGGCTCACTTCATAGAATTGTCATGAGGGATCTTCAATTTAAACTAGGCAATAAAATAACAAAAACCAGAAAATGTGTATTCGCAATTAACACAGCTTTAGAATGACCATTACATCTAATCATAGCATACGTAAAATTATGGACATGTGAAAGAGATTTAATGATTTACATAGCAGAAATCAAGACGGGTTAAGCTCTCCTATTGCTCAAAAAGTTTACAGAGTTGAGAACCTTATATAACACAATATTGAGAAAACTTCACATACCATTGTGATAATTCAAACCAAACAAAGATATCAACATCATGGTCATGAAGTTGTTGGCAGTAGCTTGGTTTATGGTTTTCATGATTTCTATTGAGCATGGGATTAATGTCCAAGGTAGCACTCGCCTTTCAATTCTCAGGATTTCTCAGAGTATCCAATCATCTCAATATGTGACTATAACAGGTAATGCAGTGAATACAATACAAGCTTTGCCATTTAGGTAGCTTGTAATCAACAATCTAATTTGCAACTCTGTTTGGCAATGGTCTATAATAGTTTGGCCTGTCATTGAGGTGAAAATTCTGAGGGTGACAAGTACAGAAATTGCATATTTCCTAATAGAGAAATGATGTTTCTACAGGATGCAACAATGACTGCGACACCGCATGTTGTAACTGTGACATCAGAAAACAGCCACCACTCTGTGTTCAATGCTGTCAAGAAGATCCATAAAAGACGTAGGTATACTTAGCAAAAAGTGAAACCACATTGTTGTACACTAAATTTAGTTCAGGAAATTGCATTTTTCATTTCAACTTTATCCAAATGGAAACTTCAATTCATTTAAGGGCTTCTATCATGTAATAGGAGATAAATTATCTTATGTCGTGAGATAAATAAAATAGAGCTCACCAATTTTATTTATTTTTAAAATAAAATAACACATCTTTTTACGTAAGTGTATTATGTGAAATGAATCTCGTGCAACATAAGAATATAATTTTCCTTCATTTAAACATGCAAACTGAATAAACCAAAAACATTTTCAAACATGTAAATCTCCAGATCATGATTTGATGAACATGCAACTAGGGACTTCTTATCTTATGGAGGAAGGAGAAAAAAGAAGTCTCACAAACCTACCTTGTTGATCTTGTCCAGGATATTGTTTATAGTCAATGTAGCTACAGTTAATCAACTTATACTTGCAATTGATCTTTTATTCTCACCATGCATAAGTTACAACTTGAAGTCCCTTATATTCATTTTGACCAAAGGGTTATCTGTAGCATTAATAAATCTCCAGCGCTTACTGGTACGATCTATTTAAAAAACAAAAGAGGATTGCATCCTTCACATCACTCTTATTCTCATCCAAAGTAATCAGAGGATTTCCAGCGTCTTTGATTGTCTTTGAAAAACACCAGCTCTTTGGCCAATATGAAGAAGGAAGTCAAAGAATTTTATTCTCATTCAACCACCAGACAAGTGTCTTTGAAAAACACTTTTACAATGAATTTTACCTGTTATTCCGGGAAAAATCAGGCCATAGTACACTCTTGTTTACATTATTTCAACTCATCGACAAAACTGTAATCAGAATAAAATCCACCTACAAAACAGGATTACGTGTACCCTATATAGTGCATCTAGAAAGTTCTGGATATTACATAGACCACCTGATTTCCTATTCTAGCCTGATAGCTGGTTCTTAGGATGATAACTTAAACAGGACAGGATGTTACAAACTATATACTTCTTGACAAACCAAGAAATACAACAGCTGATGAAATCTGGACCCTAAGATCAGCGATATCCACATCATGGCCACCTTCAACGAGGCCCCACTTGTCCACCTAAAAAAGAGAATGAAGACAGTTTTATTTCTCAGACCATGTTTAGATTCATTTCCTGTACTTCAATATTTAAGCAAAAGTTTATAAACACACACAAAAAAAGAAAAGTTTATGAATCAGGTTATAGATTATAGATTATAGATAGTCACGTAACTACCTGTAAATCTTCTTCAAGTCTAGTAAGCTCAATTGCTTCCTCAATTTGCAATTTCCCACACACCGTACCAATAGCAATAATTAATGAGTGTGCTGATGCTGCAATAGCATCAATTGCTGCCAATTCGCAGTCATCTGTTTTCTTTAGAAGGTTCTCTATAGCCATTACAAGACCATCTTCCTGCTTTCCACCAAAAAAGCTGGAGTATACAACGGGTTTAAAGCCAAATTCTGACTCCACCCAGCAGAGCAGAGGATCAATTTTCTCCACTTGGCGATCTGAAAAGACAACTTTCAAATTAAAGTTCATACATCTTTCTCAAAATCATTGAGATGTTTCATAACCCAAATAGCTTTGATTATCAAGGACATTGCAAGAAAAGAAAATGTATAACAATCACTCTAGGTAGGTAAAGCTAAAATACAATCTTAATATTGCACAATATCTCTGAACAGCTTCCACAGGAGAGGAAAACATGAAGACAGCTTGCCAAAAATAAAAAACATAACAATACCACCTACCCACCCACAAAATTCATGGTAAATTTTTTTACAGATACAGACCTAAACTGACACTGGTCAAAAAACTTAAATCCTGCCTGTCTTCATGAAAGATCATTCCCACAACTACAATAAAGCAGATTATTCTCATGACTTGAAGTTCATGATCATATTAGGCATAGAGATCATTGTTATTTATCTTCCTTGTAATAACTGTTCCCTGGCCATAGCCCATAATAAAAAAATTCATAAGTTGCCACAGACAAATACACACTGCAAGACCATCAAGATCACTTTTCTAAATGCGTTGTTTAGCAGTCTCATCTCTCATGTGTAACATGCCATTCAATTAGCCAGCCCAAACTTGATCTGCTGAACAAGTAGATTAAATGAGCTCTAAGAAAAATGCTTTTCATAATATAATTTAAAGATGATGACTCCAAGACTCCAAGTTCTAATATACTCAGCATGTATTTACATCAGGCAATCATGACTTGATTAACTGAGATCAGACATACATAAAGACATATCAAGCTATCAACTAAAACCGTACCATGGACATAGCTTGTCAGGTCATTGTCATCGGGAGCACGACAAAATACTAAATCTTGATTAAATTTCTTCATCAAATTCTCAATAATTTTGGACCTTGTGAGTGGAACTCTTTCCAAGGCAGTGCAAGCAAGTCTCATAAGAGGCATTGTGAAGGGTCTTATGCCATCCGCTTGCTACAATAAATCAAACTTCATTACTAAGTCCATTTTAAATGATACTCCAAAGCATCCATAACTAAATCAAACAGAACATGCAGCTTCAAATGCAAACAATTTAAATATTTCGAATGACGATTCAGGGAACATATATTCATACGGAAGGGGAAGCTGGCATGAGCTATCACCCCACCAAGTGACTTTAAATCATTATAACCCATAATTTGGAGCAAAATTTTAAGAATATGAAACAAAATTCATAGCTTTCGCAAAAAACTCAAGGGAACTAAACATCTTTCTTTGTTATGATGATGAGATACTCATACACCAACCAGGAAGGAATCTATTTTAGACATGTTAACCCCAAACAACGGATAAATTTTTAGTCCTGTTGTAATACATACAACACTCACTGTGTTATATGAGTGTAGTATGTAGCATACACACGTGGACTAAATCCCCCCCCCCCCCCAAAAAAAAAAATAACATAGCAACCAAAGACTTCACTATACTGTGCCTATCACCTACAATTTGAGAATTCCATTACAATAAAGAGATGACCTCCCTCCACTATAATTGTAGCTCCTTAGGGAAATTGTAAAAAAACATTTGCATTATGCCTAGGTAAAACAACTCTTATTTAGAGCAATTGTGAACTTAATTAATATCAACACAATATTCAGCAACGAATAAAGATATTAAAACCCAATAAATTAAAAAAAAACAAAAAACAATGAACATACTTGATATTCCCATTCAGCAGCAATAGCCTTAGCAAGAGCAGGAGTGGGAAGTTTCAGAGGCCTCTTGGAAGGGGTTTTGAGGGTTCTGTAATCAAGCATCACCGTCCACCCGTTCCCGTCTTCACTCTCTCTCGTCTTCACTTCCTTGTAGAACCGCTTCCCCACGATCGACCCCGTCATGAACGACATCGGCATCGTCACCGACGACGGCGACTTCCACCTTGCCCCCGGTACCTTCAGGTGCACGTCTCTTCCGTCCGACGAGAACGTGAACGACGACGATTGCGGTTGCACCTCCTCGTCGGCGGCGGCGACGGAGGCGAAGCGCCGGCCAATTGGGTGAACTGAGAGTGACGTGAGAAATTTAGGGTTTATTGATTTTATGGAATTTCTCATTATTGAGTGTGCCATTCTTCTTCTTTTTTTTAAATTTTTTTGCTTTCTCTTCTCAGTTGTTGAAGAGAGGGAATAAAAACAGTGCTTGGAGTAAGATTCAGAAGAAAGAATGGATGACAACAAGAAACGAAGAAGGAAGAAAAATGAGGATGTTGGGTCTTTTGACAGACCCATGGAATAATAGACTTGGGCTTAATTTATTTATTTCTTGGCTTATTATTGATATTCATGGGCTTAATCTTCTTAAAAGCCCATCAAAAGTTCAAAAGGAACCGACGGGATGACTTTAGTTGTGTCCCCCCAAACATTTTTTTTTTCAACCGCTAGTAGTCAACTCAATATAATATTAGGGATATGTTATTTTATCTATATTTTTTCTGTCTATGTTTACTTATCATCTTCCAACATTGTTAGATTAGAATCTTAAGAGGAGAGAGAAAGATAAAAGTTAATTGAGATTATGATATAATAGTGTTTCACAATAACAAAAGTAGACAGAAAAAAAAAAGTAGATAAAATAACCTATTCAAGAAGTTTTCTAATTTAGAACGTAAAATTACGTCTCTTTTATATAAGCTTTTTTTTAAAGATTCGTGTCTCTACACTTTTAGTTAATGGACAGTTCTAATTAGAGGTAATTATTCGCTTTTGGGTTAATGAATAATTTTGGTCATCAGTGATAAGATATTTACAAATGACACTTGTTTCGGATGACCCAACAACACAGCGGCCCAAAGGTCCAAGCCCAATCTCAACCCCCTATACACATCAGCCTTACCAAACTGTCAGCCCCCAACTCCCAACGCGACGACACTCCCTAGGAAAAACACCAAAATGTCCCGTCTTGGGACCCCAACCCCCAATGGTGACCGCCCCAGATACCATTAGAGGAAACTGCCCCTTGTCACACACTGATACCGCCAGGCACAGGGGGTGCATCGCTGCTATCATAGCAGCGCCTGCCACACCCAGCAGCGTCTGCCACCCTTAGCAGATCCCAAGGAGGGTTGACCCCCCTCCTCACCAACTCACACAAGATTCACATCACCTTCCGCTATACATAGCCCCCTTGGCACACGAAGAAGGTATCTTATGTATCGTTATTCTGCCCATTTATATTGAGCCACTCATACACACACCTAACTCCATTGTTGACTGCTTACTTCATACTTGGAACCGTGCCTCTTAGCTTGGTCTCTACCTGTGCTAAGGGTATTATCCATACAGTGACTCCATCCCCAAAGGGAACATAGTGGGCTTATAGATCCCAACGGTACATTGACGCCGTTTGTGGGAACTATAAACTCCTATTCCCATTCTCCTACCAAAGATCTACAAGAGGCATTTCATTTTCTGACAGCTAAACATGGTTGTTACGACAAGAAGAGCAGAGCAGACTAGAGTTGTTACCCCTGAAGGTCATGTGCAAATAGTTCATTCCAGCTCCCCATCGTCTATGCATTCAGCCCCTGCTGAACAAGCAGCCGACGAGGCGCTCCCACCGATGCCGCAATTTGTTGACCCACAGTTACCAGCAGCTGATGCTAGAGTAACACAGTTGAACTGTCGCGTAGCCATACGCGAAGTCCAAGTAGAGAACTTAATCCTAACTCAACCCCCACCACCTGGAGTTCGTTTTGGAATGCCACTCCCCGCCGCTGGCCCGCAAACTATCCCACCACCTTATCATCTACAACCGGCTCGAAGTCAGCCGGTGGCTCTGTATAATGATCATCGGATCCCTGTGGTCTCCCCATATCCCCCTGGACCTTACACACAATGCGGCCGCCCCTTACCCCCCACCATTCCCTACTGGTTTTCCATTCCACGGTTACGCAATACCGCCTCATAATGCGGCCATTCCAAAACCTCAAGGATCATGTATGAATCCTGGCCTGCCACAATATGGCGCCCATCAAGACCCAGCCCTCTCTTACTCTTTTGAAGCCCCACATGCACCTCGCCCACCACCAGACCAGCACGCGCACAACCCGAACTTGCGAGTAACGCCCGCTAATACTTCAGGACGCAACAAACCCTTGACCGATAGCCTACGCCTAACCCCTATACCTCTTGGTTTCAAAGGCCCTTCCAATATCGCTACGTATGTGGGTGACACTGATCCTTTTGAATGGATCCAAAAGTTTAAAGCAGCGATGACCCTTCACGGTGAGACTGATCTCCTAATGTGCAGGACTTTCCCTACGCTTCTGGGCGGGAGAGCATTGACATGGTACACCACTTTGCCAACTGGTAGTATTGCGTCCTGGGATGATTTGGCAGGAAAGTTTCAAACCCATTTCGCAAGCAGGTGCGGGGTCTGGACCCTAAGGTGCAGGTGCATATACTCCTGTTAGGCTTGCGACAAGGAGCGTTCGCCTACGAGCTTGCTCACCATGAAATTACAGACCTAGAAGAGGGTCAAGAAAAAAGCTCAAGAGTTTATGCGGATTGAAGAGTATAAAGGGAGCCGAGTCGACGACGCCCACAACCAAGAGAAGAGAGCCAATAAAAGTAAGGACCACGTGGAAGAAGGCAGGAAGGGTCACAAACCCTCCAAATATGTCAGTCGCCCTTTGGGGCATAACACCTCAGGGCGCCAATCACACAGCGTCCTGCAAACTGAATACAAAGAAGAGCGCAAGAGTAACCCACGACATCAACAACTGACCAGGTAAGCCACCGTATACTGCAAATTCCACCGCAACAATGGTCATAGTACTGAAGAATGCAGACACCTCAAAGATGAGATTGATGAGCTTATCAAGGGCGGGGCTCAAAGACGGCGAGTGACGGTGCTCGTACTGTCAGTTCTGGCAAGCGACACCGCGAGCGTAGCAATTCACCAAAAAGAAGAAGAACTAACCAATTCGGTTACCGGCCCCGCCATGAACGTGACCAAAGAGAAGATTCTCCAAGAGACCGCAGAGTGCATGCTAGCCCAAACAATAGAGGAAGACGGGAGGAAGATGACGAAGACTCAGCTATCATCAAGCACAGAGTGATAAACATGATCTCAGACGGATTGAGCGGAGGTGGAGAAACAGCTAACGCCAGGAAGAAACACTTGAAGCAATATTTGGCGGTAGCTGGAAAAGTCATCAGCAAAGTGAAAGTTGATTCGGGTCCAACCAAGCCTAAAATCGTGTGGGACTACAGTGATTTGGGCGACGTCCTTCCCGGACATGATGAACCCCTAGTCATTCAAGCAATAATAGCCAATTTTGGCGTTAATCACATGTTTGTTGATCACGACAGTTCTGCTGACATCTTGTTTTTACCATGTTTCAGGGCGTTAGGGTTTACAGTCAATGACTTAACCCCAGTCGCTGGTGAACTCTCAGGTTTCAATGCAACAGTCACCAAGCCGCTCGGAATGATAAACCTGTGTTTATCCATGGGAACTCCACCCACTTCAAGGTCAGCTGACATCCAATTCCTAGTGCTTGACACCCCATCAGCATACAACGCAATTCTTGGCAGAAGGATGTTCGCCGCCTTTGAGGTGAGCGTATCAACCCGCACTTGGCGATGAAGTTTGTAGCCAGAGATAACAAAGTCGCAACGATAAAAGAAGACCAAACGGTAGCCAAGAGCTGCTACAATATATTCCTGAGATCAGCGACCAAGGTTACCTTCAGAGATCAACCAACACCCTAACAAATAACAACCCTGCCAATTGAAAGAAGCCCTAGCAGGAATGGGAAGAAGCATGACCAATGTTTCCTAGTAGAATTTGATGCAAGAGACAAACCTCAGGTGGAACATTCCAGACCCACTCCAGATGGAGCGTTGGAACATAAAGTCTTGGGCGATGCTGATCATTAAACAACAACCATCGGGGCAACCATTGACCCAGAAATGAAAAGCAAATTGATCAAATTGCTGCGAGACAACAGAGATCTGTTCGCTTGGAAACCATCAGACATGTCGGGCATCGACCCTGAAGTGTGCTGCCACCGGTTATCTGTTGACCCCAAAGTAAAGCCCGTCTCCCAGAAAAAAAAAAGTTTGGTACCGACCGCCAGAAGGTCATTGATGAGGAAGTTAAAAGACTCCATGACGCTGGCTTCATTAGGGAAATCAAGTACACCACTTGGTTGTCCAACCCAGTATTGGTAAAAAAGCCAAATGGAGCGTGGATGATGTGTGTCGAGTACACTGACCTGAACAAGGTATGTCCCAAAGATGCTTATCCCTTTCCCAGCATTGACCAGTTGGCCGATAACGCATATGGTTTCAAAATGCTATCATTCATGGATACGTACTCTGGTTACAATCAAATCCCACTGCTCGAGGAGGACCAAGATAAAACGGCGTTCATCACCCAGAACGCCAACTACTGTTATACCATGACGCCCTTCGGATTAAAGAATGTCGGTGCCACATATCAGCGGATGATGAATAAAGTGTTCAAAGATTTAATTGGCAATAACATTGAAGTTTATATCGATGACATGATCGCCAAGTCGCAAATGCCGAAACAACACTTGTTGGACCTTCAAGGCGTGTTCGATAGGTTGAGAAAGTACAATATGCGGCTTAATCCTAGCAAATGCGCTTTCGGCGTGCCCGCCAGCAAGTTTCTAGGCTTCATACTTACCGAGAGAGGCATTGAGGTCAACCCTGACAAATGCAAGGCAGTTATCGAAATGCTAAGCCCCCAAACGGTCAAAGAAGTTCAACAGTTAACCGGGAGGCTTGTGGCCCTCACCCATTTTTTAGCAAATCGGCACATAAGTCTCTCCCCCTGTTCGGCCTACTCAAAAAAGGAACTACCTTTCGGTGGTCCGAAGAATGTGAGAAAGCCTTCCAGGAGTTTAAAAGAGCTCTCTCTTGCCCACCAATCCTCGCCAAGCCAGACAATGGAGAGACGTTGTATTTATACCTCGTCGTAGGCGCCGAGGCTATCAGCGCAGCCTTAGTCAAAGAATCAAAAGAGGAAGGGCAGAAACCAGTCTACTTTAACAGCAAAGTTCTATAAGGGGCTGATTGAGACCATATTTCCAATGCCATCCGATCACTGTCAGGACCAATCAGCCAATCCGCCAAGTTTTGCATAAGCCTGACCTCGCTGGAAGAATGATGTATTGGGCGATTGAGCTGTCGGAGTACCAAATCACCTATAAGCCAAGAATCGCCATTAAGGCTCAAGTCCTCACAAACTTCATAGCCGAAATGACGCACAGTTTCCTGCCTGATGGTCAAATTGCCAAAACATCGCTCCCAGCGATATGGAAGCTATATATTGATGGCTCATCAAACGCCAAAGGCTCAGGGGCAGAAATGATAGTTGAAAATCCAGACGGTGTGACTGTCGAGCATTCCTTATACTTCGACTTCAATACCACAAATAACCAGGAAGAGTATGAGGCCATGATAGCTGGCCTAATTCAAGCAAAGGAGATGGGAGCCCAGCACCTCAAAGTCTTCAGTGACTCTCAGTTGGTGACATTTTATATCTTAGGTGAGTATCAAGCCAAAAGACCACTGATGTGCAAGTACTTATAGAAAGTCAAAGAGTTAATACAAACCTTCGAAAGAGTTGAGGTGGAGCATATCAGGCGAGCTGAAAACACCCGGGCAGATATCCTCGCCAAGTTAGCAAGCACAAAGAGCCCAGGTAACAATTGCTCTGTGATCCAATATAATTTTCCTAACCCATGCATAGTCATGAGCATTTCAGACACGGCCGCCGAAGTCGCTGAAGAGACCTGGATCACACCCATTGTCAATTACTTGTCTGAAGGAGCCATACCTCTTGACCAAAAGGAAGCTAGGAAGGTAGTACGAAGAAGCGCCCATTTCTGCATAGTACAAGGACGACTATATAAGAGAGGACTCTCGACTCCACTTCTGAAGTGTCTGAACCCCAACGACGTTCAGTATGTTTTAGAAGAAATCCACGAAGGAATCAACGGTCACCACATGGCGGGCACTCGCTAGCAAAGAAAGCACTGAGAGCTGGTTTTTATTGGCCGACCATGGAGCGCGACGCCCATGAGCATGTCAAAAAATGTGAAAAATGCCAGAGGTTCGTCGACGTACACAAAGCCCCGCAAGAAGAGTTGACATCAATCACCTCACTGTGGCCTTTCTATAAGTGGGGAATCGACATTCTAGGTCATTTTCCCATGGCGGCTGGCCGAGTCCAATGGTTGATTGTCGCCATAGACTACTTTACCAAGTGGGTAGAGGCTGAATCTTTAGCCACCATTACATTCGAGAAAGCGAGGAAGTTCTTTTGGAGAAGTATTGTCTACCGCTTCGGCATCCCTAGAGAAGTCATTACAGACAATGGTACCCAGTTCACTGACGCAAAGTTCCGTGAATTAATGGGAAATTTGTAGATCCGGCATCATTTTGCCGCAGTAGAACACCCCCAATCCAACGGATTAGTGGAGTCGGCCAACAAAATGCTGGCTAAAGGAATCAAGAAAAAATTGGAGGCACATAAAGGGGCGTGGGTTGACAATTTGGACAACGTCCTGTGGGGATACATGACAACCGCCCAGTCTTCCACTAGAGAGACGCCTTTCAGATTAACATACGACACTGAAGCCATGATCCCCGCAGAAATTGGTGAACCCTCTTGGCGGAGAGACCACATTGCCGAGGTCGCCAACAGTCAAAATCTTAAAGAAGCATTAGACCTACTGGATGAGCTTAGAGAACATGCTGCTCAGTTTGACTGTCGTTCCAAGGAAAGGTCAGCCACTTGCTACAATAAGAAAGTTGTTCCTCGGAAGTTCGCAGAAAAAGATTTGGTTCTTAGACGAGCGGACGTTGGAAACAAAAATGCCCGCGAAGGAAAGCTCGCCCCAAACTGAGAAGGACCTTACCGGATAGCAAACAAACTGGGGAAAAGAGCATACTCACTCGAGACACTAGATGGAAAAGCAATCCCCAGGGCGTGGAACGCAGATAAGCTCAAGAAATATTATAGTTAAACTACCATGTAACACTTCCTGCACTCTTTTCCTTTCCCAAGTTTTTATCCCAATGGGTTTTACTGGGAAAGGTTTTTAATGAGGCAGGGTCCCACTTTTCAATGAACATTATTGCCTATTTTTTACAACTCTTAGTATAAGTTAAACGTCCAATTAACGGGATGGTTCTCACCCCCGCGACGAGTTGCCCTGGGACGGTTCTCACCCCCAGCCAATGACCAAATAACGGGATGGTTCTCACCCCCGCCATGCGTTGGATTGGGATGGTTCTCACCCCCAGCCAACGCCCAAGTAACGAGATGGTTCTTGATGGGACGTAAATTTGTTCCCATCTAAGCCCATTTTGATTGCAAAATACCATCCGTTCCCTCATCTGATGAGCAACTTCAGCATGAAAATCACTTGTTTTACATCTTTGTGACAAAAACACAGTGGGGGAACGGATGACAAAAACACAGTGGGGGAACGGATGATGACGTAATCCTTTGGAAAACATATTAAAAGGGGAACGGATTTAGAGCATTTATTGCACCTGCTCCACTCATTTAATGCTTCTGATCACTTTGCAGGAAACGTTGAAACAAAGTTTCAATAAAGCAGAGGCGGTGCATCAATTAAGCACGAAGAAACATGTATAACAGGAATGAAGAGTTCTCATTGGCTGAGAAGAAAGCAAGACATGGGGGATTGCAAGAAATGGCAAATCTCAACAATAACTGTCCCATCCAGCAAGTTGCAAGCCTCCAAACAATGTTGCCACCGCCCCGCCCATACAGTCAAGAAACCAACTTCAAGGGATTTTACAAGATTGTCACTCATCCTTTTGCCTATAAATAGGACGTTCCAAACACGAAGACATGATCGAATTCCTTAAGAAGAGATCACTTAGTATTATTTAGTTAATTTGTAGTTTAATTTTGTATAGTTAAGTGACAATCCTTCTCCTTTATTCTGTAACATTCACTTGAGACTCCTCACGAGCATCAACCATCTTCTCCAGTTTATATTTTGTTGTAATCTTTCTTGTTTCATTTCAATATAAGTGTTCCTTCTTTCCTTTCCACTCGATATCTCTAAACTGAATCTCGGGTCTATGGGACTTCAGTTTAGAATAATTATGTTTAAAGTAACAGCCATGGACTAAACTATCTGTGGAACGGATAAGCTGCAAATTTCTTAAAGAATTATTTTCAAAACTCTTGTACTGAAGCTTTTTGGATTTCTCTAGCTAAGTAAGCTATATTCATTGTGTATCAATGGAAATTGAACACATACTGAGAAAGGAACTTTCTTAAGGAAGGGATTTCAGACAGCTTAGCCAGTAGGGGAAGGTAGTGTTTTGGCAACGACACTATTGGTTACCTTATGAATAAGGGACCACTTCGTCCATTTTAAGGTTCTGTACCAAGTACCTGTTGGAGTCAAGGGAGCCATAGGAATATAGAAACTTGTGAGCCATCTAGTCTATGATCTGAGGAATCAGAGTTGGCAGTTAAGAAACTGGGACAAAGCCAAAAAGTGCTAAGTATTAAGCAGAGAAAATAACTATTTAAGAATGGAGCAGTAAATCCGTTCCTTGTGTTAA